TAAGTCCCATCAACATACGAATGTATAAAGAAAGTATGGTATATTCACACAGTGGGGTATTTTTCAGCCATAAAGAAGAATGATTTGTAGGGAAGTAGATGGAACTGGAGGTCACCATGTTAAGCTAAATAAGCCAAACTCAGAAAGACAAATCTCATATATTTCCCTTCATATGTGGAATCTATATCTTAAAAAGGACATGGACATAAAAGGGGGATGATTGGAGGAACCAGTGTGGGATGGGAGTAGGAAAGAGGGTGGAGGAGAATATTTTCAAAGTACATTGTATGAAGATATGAAAAGGACTTAATGAATCTCAGTAAATATTTTGTAGAAAAAATTTAAAAACAGAGAGGAGGTACAAGGAATAAGAAGAAGCAATGGAGGAGTGATTTAAGATCGAAATACATTATTTATAGGTAAATACACACCTGTACAAGGTCCCTCACCTTGTACAATTAATATATGGAAATAAAATAATTATAAATTAAATATAACAAATATCAGTAAGTTCATTAATTATAGAACGACAATGTTTTAGGAGACCTCAAATTCATAAAATGTCAAATTTATTTGCTGTTGAACATTGAATGCTACCATGAAGAATATTGGTGTGAACTTTTTAAACTATCTCCAGTTGTGTAAGTGCAAGATATTTTGGCAGTATATCTGACATTGGAATGCATGGTCCACATCAATGAATATTTTTAATTTTAAGTCATAATAACACATTATTTTTCTATTAAAATGGTTAAGACTTCTAATTAATACACAGCATTGCTTCCAAAAAACACTCTTAAAAATAACTTCTTATAATCTCCTGATATACAATGAACCCCAGGAGGTTTTAGTATGTCTTTCCCTTACTGTTTTTGAGGTTGACTAAATTTGGATGGCATGATTAGCCCATTTGGAATTATTTTCTCTGAATTAATCTTATGGCTTTTTTTTCAATTTTGTTGGGTCTATATATGTGAATATATTTCACTATTAACTTATAAAAATTTGCAGGGGCACATTTTGAAAAGGACTAGGAAAGCAGAATCTTGTGGAAGAGGATAAAGAAGGAGGTTTTCTAGGAAATGGTATCTGGTATAGGTAAAGCAGTAATGTCAACTGTTAATTCAGAGGTGCCTTTCCTCAGACTGTTTAATTAAATGAGAAACTTTGCAGAATACATACATGTTGGGAAAGGGAGGTGTGAATGGTTTGGGCTCTTCTGGTTTGGGAAGGAAAGAAGTTTTGTCAACCTGGAAAACAAAGTTCAATTGGTGCATTGTCATAACGGCAATAGATGATCAGTGATGATCTACAGGACACAGAAACCGTAACTGAAATCTGAGTATCTTGCAGGCTTTCTTTGCTAAAATAACATTTCCAAGTATCATGTTGAATTTAACATAAAAGTAACAATTAACAATATAAATATTCACACTTAAGTTTGAAAAATGAACACATAATATTCATTTTCAACCAGGTATTGAATAATAGGAGCTAGAGATATATGGAATGAATTTGGGATCAAATTTGTAAGGTGTTGAGGACAAAGCATATATTGAAAGGTAATTTTATAGTATTATAAGAAACTTATACCAACAGAATGCTGACAGCATAGCTTTTGGCAAGAGACTGAGATTTATCCAAACTGAATTGTAGTTCCCAAAGTTCAGTGGCGATGATGAGATACCAGTTTCTCACTCTTGTTCAGAGAGTGAATAATAGTGTTTCTGGTGTTTGTGAAAGGATTTGGTTTAGAATGCAGAGATTTTGGTTATCACACTCAGCCTCTAGCTTGGTTTTTGATGGATCTCTAATCACATTTTCTCAATGTAAAGTGAAAAGACAGAAGTTTTGTGAACCACCAAATTACTACTGGCTGCCTTGTGGTTTTCATAATTCCTCCCAGGGTAAATTCTTATGCCTGCTTCCACTAGTAGTTCTTTCCCTCAGGGAACATAAAATGAAGTAATTACAACTTGTTTGTCTCCAATCTGGAGCTGGGATGTGGAATTGCCTCCAGGTCCTCTTTATGGCTTGTGAAATTAGAGCTCACAGAGATCGCTCAGAAAGAAACATGCTTTGATATATCTATCTTGTTTGATTCTGAACTGATAACTCTTCTGCTTGTCTTAATGGAAGTTTGAGCTCCTTAGGGGTTTCATCTGTTTCACTGTATTTCACTTCTTCTAGCAAGTAATAGAAGAATTTTCCAATGTATGAAGGTACTTGTGCTCATCATCAAAGGGATCCTGACAGAATGGAAACAGAGTTGACATTCAGTGATATGAGTGTACATGTATGTATGTATGTATGTGTGTGTGTGTGTGTGTGTGTGTCCTACTGATTCTTAGATTTACTGCTCTTCACATAGAAGGATGGTCCATGTACTGTAACTTGTCTTGAATTTAATATCTATCCAAATTTTGAGGTGATAAATAAAAAATAAAATCTCTATGTATGTTAATTTATCTCAGAGTGATCCTATATCTAATTTTTGAGAGAAAGGAGGAAAACACACCTCCTTTTGCTTATCTTTTACCCTAAGGAGGTCTTGTTTGGGTTTTTCCCCAAAATTTGATCCCAAATCTCTAAAATTTTCTCCAAAATGCAGGTTTAGTCAAGTATTATTTTGTAACTTAAAATGCTGACCTATTCCCATTCCCACTGGAACTTGTGCCTTAGTATTACACGATCTTTACCAAGTAACCAGCAAGTCATTTGATATTTTTAGTCACTTCTTTAGTTATATTGTTTCTTTGGTATATTATTATTCTAGAATAGATCAGAACTTCTATTATAGCAGACTAGTCCATTATCCTTTCGCTCCTTGAATGTTCTACAAACCATATATTTCCCTGACTGAGGGAAAAACTCCAGAGTTGTCTTGAGTTCTCGCTTTTCCTTAAATGTCCTTGTGCTGTCCACCCCAAACATTTTACTAGAGTGCCCATTTTTATAATGTTCCTGTGTAGGTTTTTCTTGTGATTTGATAGTTTGTCAAAACCAAGACCGCACATTCCCTTCATTTCTGAGAATTTATTGTATTTGTAATACATATAGAATGTTTATTATGTAATGTATTTGTCAGTGTGCAAAATGACATAATAAAAATATTGAATATTGTAATATTGCTGGAAATACAGAAATATTAGAAACATTCAACATGCCTACAGATAGCTCATCATTGTTTTCATTCTGAGAAACTTAATTGTTACTAATGTGAGTTGAATAACATACCTGAATTATTACCAAGCTCAGGTAGCAACATCATACTAACAGGATTTTTAATGTAATGGCTAAAGAATGTAGAAATTTTTAAAGATAACTTCTATTTTAAACTTTAAAGACAATTTAAAGATAATTGGGAAAATTCATATATTCATATAAACTTTCATGAACTCCCAAATGATTGAACTGTCAGATAATAAGAATCTCCTCAGCTTACAAAGACAAAACATGCAGCTTTAACAACTCTTATTATCATTATTTTTTTATTAGTGTTATATTAATTGTACTAAGGAGTTTCATTGTGATATTTCCTTCATGCATATAATGTATTTTGATCAAATTATCCCTCTGTATTGCTCTGTCTTATCCCTCCTCTCTTTTTTACAGATTTTTAGCAGGATTCATTGTTTTACTTTTTATATGTGCTCAAAGTACTTCGGTCATATATACCCCTTGCCCTTCATAGTCTCCTTTGGACCATTCCCCTCTCATTGGTTCCCATCCCCAGATTTTCTCTATTTTATACTTGTGTCATTCACTTTTTTTAAGGCATAGTTTCCACATTTGAGAAAGAGCAGGTGATGCTTGTCTTTCTCAGTCTGGCTTATTTTGCCTAACATGTTGATCTCCATTCTATTCATTTTCATGCAAACAAATCTTTACATAGAATATGTATTTTTTGTAAGAGAGATTATCATGTTCAGTTTTCCTGATCATTAGTGATTGCTTACATTAATAGACATAATACTAACAGACCTGAATGAGTAAAAGGGAGGAATTACAGCTCAGCAACATAGAAGAAATTATAGAAATATGCTGAAAATAGTCTTTGACATAAAACGCAAAAAGGAAAAGAAGTAATTTGTTATTGCTAAAGAGACACAAAGACTTCTTCACCTGATCCAAGATTGTACTGGAAAAGACATGTTGTTCCTAGCATTCCAAGGACTTGAATAAGAGGATTTACTTTGAGTTGGGAGACTGTATAATGTGTTGATGTGAAAGAAGGACAGTTATTTTGTGAATTTTCCATGATTATTCTTTTAGAAAGAATGATATCAGACTCAAAATGCTGTGTGTAAAGACTTTGCAAAAGGAAGAACTGCTGGGTGTGTTATAAGGTATGTAACTAGATATTTTACATTATTGACAAAGATTTATGCCCTTAAAACTCTTGCTGTGATGTGCTGTGTACAACATTTATATCAAGTTTCCAGTTTCTGATACCTTACACATTCAAAGCAGCCTACTGAGTTCTCTTATCTTAATTCAATCTGTAGACACAAAGCTATACCAACACACCAAAGTGTGTTCAAGAGGCATTGAGAAGATTGAAAGAGGTCAACAGGACATTAGAGATCTCCTGCTTTTCTATTAACTAGAGACTGACCTGTCCTTCCACTCTAATTCTCTAATTTCCATCCAGAAATCATGGACAACAACCTAGTCTGATCTGATAATCATTTTGATAGTTCATGATTTCTCAAAAAAGATGTTCAGTTGTTTTCTAGGTGGACCATAACAACCTTTCTTGACCATCATCAGCCCATCAGTGACAAAATCCTAATTATTCAGGTTAAACTTCACATACTGACTAGTTCAAAACGATCTTTCTTTATTTTCTTCTTTGTTCTTTTCTTTCTTTTTTCTTTTTTCATTCTTTCTGCTATGTGGGGGATTGATAAAATGATGCTTTTGCTATGTAATAGTTACAATGACTTCTCTTTCTTTCACATTTCCATCTCTCTTTTCAACAGTAAAAGAAGAGGACCATGAAGAAGGAAAATCAGAGCAGTGTATCTGAATTCATCCTCCTGGGTCTCCCCATCCAACCAGAACAAGCCATGTTCTATGCTCTGTTCCTGGCCATGTACCTGACCACAGTGCTGGGGAATCTGCTCATTATTCTGCTCATCAGGCTGGACTCTCACCTCCACACCCCCATGTACTTCTTCCTCAGCCACTTGGCCTTCACTGACATCTCTTTCTCATCAGTCACAGCTCCAAAGATGCTCATGAATATGCTGACACACAGTAAATCCATATCCTATGCTGGGTGCATTTCTCAGGTATACATTTTCTTGTTTTTTGGAGGTATTGACAACTTTCTTCTCACCTCAATGGCTTATGACAGATATGTGGCCATCTGTCATCCCCTGCACTATACCAAAATCATGAGTCAGAGTCTATGTTTCCTACTAGTAATTTTGTCTTGGATCTCATCCTCTGTGATTTCCCTTCTACACACCCTGCTTTTAGCTCATCTATCTTTCTGTGGAGATAACACTCTGCCCCACTTCTTCTGTGACCTCTCTGCCTTACTTAAGTTGTCCAGCTCAGACACCACAATCAATGAGTTGGTTATTCTCACCGTAGGAGTGGTGGTCATTACACTTCCATTGATATGCATTTTGGTCTCTTATGGCTACATTGGGGCCACCATCCTGAGAACCCCCTCCATCAAGGGAATCTGCAAAGCCTTGTCCACATGTGGCTCTCACCTGTCTGTGGTTGCTATGTACTATGGACCAATTATTGGGCTCTATTTTGTCCCATCATCCAATAACACTAATAACAAGGATGTCACTGTGGCTGTGCTGTACACTCTGGTCACACCCATGCTGAATCCCTTTATCTACAGCCTGAGGAATCGGGATATGAAAGGAACTCTGAAAAATGTATTCAGTAGAGGAAACTTTTCATTGTGATGGGCACTTATTTCCTGTTAACTGGATATGAGACCTTCTCTATTTGTACCTTCTCTCTGAATTGCTGGTTTTTTAAGTGGTATTTTTACATGGTATTTTTTCAGCCTGTACTTTACCTGGGTTTTTTTATTAGGATATATTCATTGTACGGGGGAGGGGATTCACTGTGATAATTCCAAATAGGCTTATATTGTACATAGATTAGATTACACCCACCAACTCTATTCCTCGAATTGCTCCTCTTCAAGCAGTTGCAAAAGGTTTCATTGTTCTATTTCATATATATATGAAATCCATCAACCATATTCCTTCATCTTAGTCTTCTCCATTCACCTTCCCCTCTTCCACAAGTTAACCCCCCGTATCAACTTGCAGTCTTTTTCTTTTTCATTATTAATTTTTCAGTCATTGTTCAAACGAGTTTCTCGATGTATCCTTCACCTGGGTTTTTGTTTTGTCTCTGTCTAATTGTCCTGTTGATCTTGAGAATCTTGGATGCAGTTCTTACCAGAATAACCATATTTTTGGATTAGTATCCTTGTCCTACAAACATTTTCAATATATATAGTCACAGATACTAGTACTTTATTAGATAGTTTGTAATCTTTTGTTGCAATATTTTTTTTTCACTTTCTCACTTTGGCAGTATTGAATTTTTTTTCCTGGTAGGTTTATGAGGTATTTTTATGCTGAATTTTGTAACAAATATACTTTTTGCAATCTTCATTAGACATAGAGTTTTAGTTTTCAAAAATTCTTTTTATTCATTTATATAAATTTCAATTGACATAAAAGGTAGATATGAGGTATCATCTGATGTTCCAATATATGTATATAGTCTATAAGGTTCAAGTCAGAAAACATATTTGTTTCTTCTAGAATTTACCACTTTTTTGTGATGAATCCGTTTTTCTGTTGTTACTGAAATATATAGCATTTTATCTACTGACACACTACTATTCAGTTAAACGTCAGAATTTCTTTCACTTTTTAATTTTTTTAATTTGTAATTTTTTAAGAACTATTTTTATTATCATATTATTGTACTGGTGGTACATTGTGACATTTACAAAACATGTCGTAAGTGAATTCATGCCCTTCATCATTCTCCTTTAACTAATTGCAAGCCCATTGACCATCCTTTCTTCATCTGTCTTTACCTCCATATTCTGCCCATTTGTTTATAATTTCTTATGCAATTTCTAAGAATTTCATTCTGTCATTAAAATGATGATAATTAGGCAGAAAACTTCCTCCCATCAAACTGAATAGAAAAAGGTTGAGGCAGTTGGGTATGGGTCCAAAGCGAACAGAAACTTGATTGCAGCTTTTATATCTCAGGAAAGCAAACTGTGAGGCATAGCAGCGAGAAGATAGATTGTTTTAAAAAACATCTTTCCAGATGGTGCTGTGTTGGTATATGCATTCAGTTTGTTTCACCTAGATGGAGATTCAGCTTCCAATAGTGTGTGTTGGAGAATGGCTATGGAGGATATCAAAAAGTCTAGCCAATCTGGACAGACTTCAAGCAGGACTTCAGTATCGTTTAATCCAACTATATTTTATTTTAAAATGAACAAAGTTGCTTCTATGCCCAACTACATAAATGTATTGTCCTGTGTTTTTACCTGAAACAGTAAAGATTTGTTTTTAGTTTTTCAAAGATTGCCTCTTCTCAAGCAAAAGGTAATTAACTCTGTTGCTATGAGATGAACACTATGACAAAATTCTCATACTTATTATTTAATTTTGTAGTAGTATTTAATATTGAAGAGGGAATTAAACTTAAAAGAGGTTTAGTAACCATTCCTGTGCTACTAAGCTAATAATATTTAGCAGAAATGGTTTATAAACCACGGCATATGCAAGGTCAAATCCAGAGACCTATAGCAACTTGTATATTTTTCAAAGTGGAGTGTCTTTTCCTCTGTTTTATTGGAAATTTTGCTGTACTATGTCAAAAATGTTGAAATCATGTATAAATGGAACAATAAATATAGATGGTACACAATAGCAATATATATGTAAACATAACATGTATTGTGCATATATGTTTACATACATGTGACATAAATATGTATTAAATTAGAATATCAAAATTATTTATTTAATCATCTCTAGGCTTAAGTGATAGAATACTTAACAACATAGTTGAAGCTCCTTCAGACCCTCCTAAATTATATCTTCTTTCCCTTTAAAGGTACCTGATGTCTTGACCATTATCAATATTTCCTTACTTTTCACTTGAGTTTTACACTTCTACTTTGGTCCTTCAGTTTTGCTCAAGAACTGCATGTAAATACAATAAGACTATATTAATTCTGATATATTTTGCTTTTGTTGTTTACTATTGTCCTTGTAAATTCGTCTACTTATTTTCATAATTCTCTGTGTAACTAACATGCTATGTGCTCTGTTTTCAGTGGCCATTTTTTCATTGAGTGTGTTGCTATTGATGATTAATGTTGTCACAAACACCACTGTGCATGCATATGGTGTGTATATACAAGAGATTCTATAAATTGTGTTCCCAGAAGAATTACTGGATGTTAGGAATACATAGAAATAATTTAACTGTCACTGAAACTATTTCAGGAATGGGGGAAGAAGGATAAAAGAAAGAGATAGAGGGGATGAATTCACTGTAAGAATTTTTGTAAATGTCTTATTATACTTCTAGTACAACAAGAATAAAAAAATCCCCCACCCCCAAAAAAAGCCAAAATAGACCAGGAAGACAGTCTGAAATGATTATATTCTATATCATTCCAACTACATGATATCCTGGAAATTGTGAAACTATAGGAATAATAAAATGATCAGAGGTTACTAAGGATTTGGTGTAGAGGAAGAGGAGGGATACACAAGTGAGGCAAAAGGGATTTTTAGGGGAAAAACTTATACTGTATAATGATGCAACTATGGATACATGTCATTATGCATTTGTGGGAACCAAAGAAGAAACAAAACCAAACAAAAATCTAAGGAAACTACAGCCATATAATTAAAAGCATGAATGCTAATCTTAACTGTGGACTTTAGTTTATAGTAATATATCAATATTATTTCTGATATAACCAATGTACTCCATCTATATAAGATGTTAATAGCAGAAACTCTGGGTGAATGGGAAGAAACAGTACATGAATACTTTGAGGTCAAGTTTTCAGTAACCCTAAAAATACTTTAAAAATACTCCATTAATTTTTAAAAAAATTATACTAATTAAACCTCTCGCCTCAGAGTATGACTTCTATATAATTTTACCTCACATGTAGCACTTGGTACTGACAATTTTAAATGTTTTACAAGTGTAGTGGATAGCAAATTATACCTCATTATGTTTTTTAAATTATATTTTAATACCCTCGATTAATTGTACAAATTGATAGGTTTTATACACATATACGATATACTTTGTTCATACTCACCCCTCTGTTTTCCTTTTATCCTTTTTCCCCTCTGCTTATCCCCTTCAATATATTTAGTAGTCCACCTTTTATTTTCAAGTACTTTTTCCCTCTAAATTTTGCATATGAGAGAAACATATGATACTTGATTTTCAGAGTCTGGTTATTTTACTTAACATGATGACTCCCAGTTCTATTCATTTGCAGACAGCCTAATTTCATTCTTCTTTTTTTTTGTTTTATTTATTTATTTATTTATTTTTCTTTTATTATTCATATGTGCATACAAGGCTTGGGTCATTTCTCTCCCCTGCCCCCACCCCCTCCCTTACCACCTACTCCGCCCCTCCCTCTCCCCCCAACCCCTCAATACCCAGCACAAACTATTTTGCCCTTATTTCTAATTTTGTTGTAGAGAGAGTGTAAGCAATAATAGGAAGGAACAAGGGTTTTTGCTGGTTGAGATAAGGATAGCTATACAGGGCATTGACTCACATTGATTCCTGTGCGTGTGTTTACCTTCTAGGTTAATTCTTTTTGATCTAACCTTTTCTCTAGTTCCTGGTCCCCTTTTCCTATTGGCCTCAGTTGCTTTTAAGGTATCTGCTTTAGTTTCTCTGCGTTAAGGCAACAAATGCTAGCTAATTTTTTAGGTGTCTTACCTATCCTCACCCCTCCCTTGTGTGCTCTCGCTTTTATCATGTGCTCAAAGTCCAATCCCCTTGTTGTGTTTGCCCTTGATCTAATGTCCACATATGAGGGAGAACATACGATTTTTGGTCTTTTGGGCCAGGCTAACCTCACTCAGAATGATGTTCTCCAATTCCATCCATCCTTTACCATGAATGATAACATTTCGTTCTTCTTCATGGCTGCATAAAATTCCATTGTGTATAGATACCACATTTTCTTAATCCATTCGTCAGTGGTGGGGCATCTTGGCTGTTTCCATAACTTGGCTATTGTGAATAGTGCCAATAAACATGGGTGTGCAGGTGCCTCTGGAGTAACCTGGTGTCACAGTCTTTTGGGTATATCCCAAGAGTGGTATTGCTGGATCAAAATGGTAGATCAATGTCTAGCTTTTTAAGTAGCCTCCAAAATTTTTTCCAGAGTGGTTGTACTAGTTTACATTCCCACCAACAGTGTAAGAGGGTTCCTTTTTCCCCGCATCCTGCCAACACCTGTTGTTGGTGGTGTTGCTGATGATGGCTATTCTAACAGGGGTGAGGTGGAATCTTAGTGTGGTTTTAATTTGCATTTCCTTTATTGCTAGAGATGGTGAGCATTTTTCATGTGTTTTTCTGGCCATTTGAATTTCTTCTTTTGAGAAAGTTCTGTTTAGTTCACTTGCCCATTTCTTTGATTGGTTCATTAGTTTTGGGAGAATTTAGTTTTTTAAGTTCCCTGTATATTCTGGTTATCAGTCCTTTGTCTGATGTATAGTTGGCAAATATTTTCTCCCACTCTGTGGGTGTTCTCTTCAGTTTAGAGACCATTTCTTTTTGATGAACAGAAGCTTTTTAGTTTTATGAGGTCCCATTTATCTATGCTGATCTCTTAGTTGCTGTGCTGCTGGGGTTCCATTGA